AGGCAGTCTGCTTCCATAAAGATTTACAGCCTTGGAAATTCAATGGGGGTCGCTGTGAGTTGGAATTGACTTGATGGTAGTGAGTTTGGTTTGGTTTTATGTAGTATGTAAGTATGTATTTATAATTTATATCTTTAAATATTATAATATGTGTAATGTGTAATTAACTAAAAAAAAAAAGCTCACTACCATCGAGTCAGTACCAACTCAGAGTGATCCCCACTGGGTTTCTGAGGTGGTAAATCTTTACAGAATTAGATTGTCCCATCTTCCTTCTGCAGAGCAGCTGGTGGGTTTGAACCACCAATCTTCTGGTTGGCAGTCAAATGCCTTAGGCAATGTACTAGCAGAGCTTCTTAGTATGTAATTATATATTATATATTAAAAAATATAATTTAAGCATCAAATCAATCCTATAGGGACGTTATTATAATCCATATTTCCCAATAAGGGAACTAAGGCTCAGAGAGGTTTGTAAGTAGCAGAGCCTGGAGTCCAGCCCAGCCGTTACATGTTCTTTATTTAACCCTGTGTCACCTCTTTCTCTGTGTTCAGATTGGAAAGTTCTGAATAATAATAGATAACAGTAGCGATACACCTTTGCTTTATTTGGGTGGTAAGAAAGAAGATAAGAAAAAGCCCCGCAGTAGCTGCTATATGAGAAGTTAAGATGGGGTGTCCCTGGTCACTATAGGAAGAATGTACCCGAGTGTGTGTGTGTTAGAAAATAGTAGTAGGAGTCAAATCTTGGTTCATGGGTTTAGATGTAGATTGGTGTATTTTATACATAAAAGGTAGGATCTAAGCTAAGAGGCAGAGAGAGCTACTTGGCTATACATGTGAACAAACCTATCAACTATAAGTTAAGATAGAGATAGATAGCCTGGACATTAGGACTCTTGTTCCTGGCCTGGTATTGCTATATTGAAGGTATTTATGTATGTATTTGTAGAATGTATATCTTAACCATGACTGTAGGTATGGGAGAGGTAGGTTGTGTTTAGATTGCTTTTGAAAGTTTGAAGATCGTGTGAATCAGAGAAAATGGAGTGATTTTTTACCTGAAGAGAACTGAATATTTATCAGCTTTTAAGCACTTTGCAGTTAGATTTCCAGTATCTTCACTAGACCCCTGTCTGCAGGGAACTGTAGCTTTGTCTTTTTCTTTCTCCTGTTTATCTCCTGGCTGTGCCTGCCATAGTAGGTCTCTCTGAATTAATAGTTAGTAATGCTATGGTGTGAATATTAGGCAGATGGAGAATTGCTTGAAATTTTAAAAAACATACACCTAGATATGTAATTATTGTACATTATTTTTAATGTGAATGTTTAACCTTTTAAAAGAAAAACCTTACCAGTTTTAATGTAAGAGGTTCATTTTTAAAAATGGATATTTAGGTTGGGTGAACATATAAACCCCCATTACAGAGTAGCAGAAGTCATTGACTTCAGTGTGAATATTTATGGAGCCAAGAGATGAATTAGCAGTTCTTTGTTTAGTAGAGGATTTTCATTGAGAATTATTTGGTAGTGATATATAAAACTTCAGATATAGCCCTCCTCTGGGTATTTCCTTTACTTTTCCTCATTTTTTCTTCCTTTACCCCCTACCTAGAGCTGATAGGAAGCACTCTATAGTTCCTTTCCAAAGTATCAACCCATCACTGCTTAATAATACATAGTATGTTGGTTGATAAATATTCAGTTCTCTTCAGGTGAAAAATTGCTGTTTGGTATTGATCAAGTCAAGAACAACTGTGAGAAGAAAATCTTTTATTGTTGCCTCAAGTTGGAGCTTGTGAAAAATCTCAACAGACTGCTTTTTAATCTCCAGAGGTTAGCCCATTAATGTCCCTGTTTTGTTTTTTCTCTGGTTATTTGACCAGGTACTTGGCAACAACATGCCTTCCTCTATCGTGTTGTGTTTCATTACTCTACTCCTCTCTACCTTTTGTTAGCAGTATATCTCTCCTCTGATCTGTGAATATAAGCACTGCCAGGCACCTGTGGAGAAGGGAGTATTTCCTGATTGCTCATTATGTACCGTATTTATGAGAATTTAATCCTCAACAAATCTACGTGGATAATATTATTCTACTTTCTTAATACAGAAATAGGATTTCAGGGAGGTTAAGAAATTTACCTAGGGTCACAGAGCTAGCAGCCTATTCAGAATTGGAGCCAAGATTTAATCCCAGAGTCCATGTTTTTTTCTTTACATGATTGTGCTAGGAGTGTAGGATCGGGGATCATCATGAGGCCTAAGCCTGGAATAAATTACAGAATGTTGTCTTCTTTTATCCTGTACTATAACAGTATTTCTATCCACATGAAACTGGCTAAATATGAACATCAAAGATTGTCTTGACAGGAAAAATAAAAGAGAGCGTTGTTATGTTTTAGGTTGTTGTGGGAGGGGAGAGGGCGAGGAGAGTTGGATGAAAGAAGGAAGGGCAGTCCTTTCCCTTTGTTTTAGGGTGGGGCTGGAGGCAGAGGGAAATTGACTGTCCCGCAGATGTACATTATAAACCTCAAAGAATATTTAGCTTCAGTCAGGAAGTCCATAGTAGTCACAGCTGGATTATTACATGCTCTAAGGTTCTATGAAGAAAAGGAAGAGTCTGGCTGGGGAGGTAGATTAGAGAAGACTTTATGTCACATAGCCTGGGGTCTCTGAGATGGGCAGTATTGTGTAAGCATGTGCATTAAAGAGCCAGTGCCAGTGCTTGCTCTAGCTTTCTTACTAGCATCAGGGAGCAGGAGGAAGACATTGCTCATCCTGCTGCACATGGTCTGGAGCTGGAACCAAAGCCCAGAAAAAAAACAACTAATTTCAAATAAGCAGCAAGTTTGTTAGTCAAATGGTCAGGCAGAAGAGGGAGCTAAACCTAGAGCAGGGAAGTCTGAAAGCAGAGCCCAGGCCAGGCAGCCCAAGAGAGTCATGGGAAAGAGCAGGGCAGGGCAGGTTGGGAGTGTCAGCTCTGTGACCTCGTCCAGCTTACTGCTTTCAGGCTAGTGTTTAGGAGAAGAGACTGTATTCCAGGTGGGTTTGAGGTCCCCACAGAATAAAGAGAGTAATTACCATCCCAAAAGAGTAAACTTTCCTTGTGGTAGGTGTGGTGGTTGTTGTTGTTTGCCGTCGAGTCAGCCCGACTCATAGTGACCCCTTCTTGGGTTTCCGAGGCAGTATCACTACGGAAGTAGGATTGCCCAACCTTCCTTCCGAGGAGTGGCTGGTGGGTTTGAACCCCCAGCCTTCT